GTGACCCTTTGGAGGTAGGTGCCAGGCCTGTCTTTCAAGGCACCACTGGGTGGGTTCGAACCGTCCACCTTTCCCTTAGCAGCCAAGTGCTTAGCTGTTTGTGCTCCTCGGGGACTCCTACGCACTGTAGGATAATAAGTCACATGAAAAAACCCGAGAAGTTGCTTTCTGATGGTCTACCCCTGTCGTTCGGATTTCTCACGGGGTTCCCGTTCATCTGCCTCCATGCCCTTTGCATTCTCATCTTTGTCTTAAAGTCATCGTTGACCGTTTGGCTCCTGTGCGGGGCTTTCACAAAGTTCACGGACAGTTGGGTTTTCTGTTCATTCAGGTTTCTCCGTGAACCTTGTGAAGGTGAGCCCACCACGTGGGGGTGATGGGCATTGATTTTGGAGCCAACTTGTTATTTGGCTACCAGGTGACCTCAGGGTTAGTTATGGGTCAAGGTTTGTGAGTGTTTTAGGGTGATAACCTAGAGAGCCCCCCTAGTCCCAAATTTCTGTGTCTTGTTTGATTTTATTTTTTAAAGAAATTTGAGGTATGATTCCACATTTTTCTCCTCTCGAGTGCCTCTTTTGTGACCCGATTAGAACTGTTGTGATAACTGGGTGCCAGTCTAGTTCTGGTCTCAGGGCAAATGAGGCCATGGTGCTTGTAGACAATTTGTCTGATAGATGATTTTTACAAGAGATTATTCTGGCTCCTGTAGGTAGGCCGCATTTAAAAGGGCAAAAAGAAAGGTAGCCTGCATAGGAGGCAAATTCAGCCCACGGGCGATGCTGGGGGCTTGGACACGGAGGCATGCAGTAGACATCTTCAGAATTGGAGGATTTGAGATGTTTTAGAGGAGAGTTATCCGAGCTTGTTAGGAGCCCCGGTGGAGGGTTATGACTTTAGGCTTTGAACCTCAGGGTTAGCATTTCAGAACACTGATCTTCGGGAGAAAGATGGGCCTTTCTGCTCCCATAAAGCCTTATAGTCTTGGAAACACACGGGTTGGTAGGTTGCTATCGGCTTTTTCGGAGTTGAGTTTTTCAGTTTGTTAGGGCTTGTCATTGATGGAATGGGCATTGGACATCAGGTAAAGAAGAAGTGAGGAGGTTAGGGGTCAAGTGAAGAAGTGAGTACCTTCTAGTTTGGGGGATTGCTTTGGAGGGTTTTTTTTTTTAGTTATTTTACTGGGGGCTCGTACAACTCTTATCACAATCCATCATCCATCCATGTGTCAAGCACATTTGTACATCTGTTGCCATCATGCTTAGGAGGATTTTATCATGTGACTTGACCATAGTTTCTCACTACAGTTGATGGGCTGGGCCTTGAGCTGACCCTAAACTTGGATGATTGTGCTATTTGTGGGAAGGAGAAAAGACCAAGCATTGGAAGCTGCTAGAGGGGACACAGTTGATGGTTTCTGTTTAGGATCTGTTTAATTTGAGATATCCCTTTCCGTCCCACTGGGGATAGCACATAGAGAGTGGAAAATACGAGAGTGGATTTCAGTGGAGAAGTCAGAGCTCAGGGCATAAATGTGGCCACCATAGGCATGCCGGGGGCTATTTAAGGCCAAAGGGTGAATGAGATTATCTTGGGCTGGCCTGAGGTGTCTTTTCTCATCCACCATGCTCAGCTCACAAAAAGAATTTAGAAACAGCCGCTAGAAAGGGAAGCAGAAGCCAGGAGGAGCACTATTCCAAGAAGGATAAAGTATTTGGTTTGT